GTCGTGCGGTGGCCCAGGCCGCTCGAGCGGTCTAGGTGGAGTTGCAGTCCGAAATTCTGCTGAAAAATTAAACTTTTCCCTTTTACAAAACCAACTTTAATTTCATGAAAATCAAGGCCCAAAACCCTCAAAAATACCTTCAATTTCACATTTCTAACCTCCAACAAAATCATAACTTAAAAAAATAAGATTCATTTTGTCATTTACAAGATCAAAAGCTTGAATTTAAGAAGAAAATCAAGAATCATTCATATGGGGAGTTCCAAGTTCAAAATCCAAGGAGATCTCCTCCTCAAATCTCAAAACTCATACAAGAAGCAAGGAATTAAATATGCATAATGCCATGTACGTCAATGATATGAGCTTAATTCTTTCACTTCTTCAATTTATGTTCATATTGAGTCTCAACTCTAAATCTTCCCACCAAAACCCTTACTTTATCATGCATTCATTCCAATCCAAACCAAATTCTAAGGGATTATGAGTGTGGTAGCTCAATTTAAGAAAGTAATGGAGAATTCTTACCTTATTTAGTTGAATTTGTGAAGATTTGCTCCAATCCCCCTTTCTTATTCTTCTTGAGCTCTAGGGTTTTCTCTCTCTCTCTCTCTAGAACTCTCTCTCAATTTTGGTACAAAACCCACTGAGCCTATAGTCTTCTTCTTATTTGTTGACTAACTCATTACTATAGTTCTTAATTAATTCCAAGTTTAAATTCATAATCAAGTTCACTTAATTACCATCATAATCTAATTTTCTTTGTGCTAAATTGACACATACTATGGTAAATCAGGCGCTAATTTCTTATTCCAAATATTAAATTCTACCCTTATGGTTTACTGATTCAAACATGTTTATTTGTATTCACCATGCATCTATTCATATAACTACAAGACAAATAACACATGGCAAATATAACACATGGCACATCATTAACATAAAACACATAATCAAGACTAATCATATAATTTAGCAAGTAATTAAGGTGGTGGTTGTTACAGTCGGCAACAATGGTAGTTTGTGGTAGATAGGTGATATTAATGTAACGCCCCAAATTTTTAGCCCAAATGATAATGCAACAATCATGGCTCTCTTAAAGGAAAACCAAATATAACTTCCCATACTTGCATTACATAATAATAATAGTTCCTCATGTGATATTACATTGATTCAACAACAAGTAAATAACCAAATAAGCACCCCCAAGGGTTTACAATCTTCCAAGGCTTAAGCCCGGTACACAAAATGGTTATTCAAAGCCACACATGCATAGCCCTTGGCTTACAAATAGGATCACAACAAATGAGAACTTTAGTGCCCTCAACACACACATTTCCAGGCCCTGAATTAGGTGGATTCACTACGTCTTTTCTTGCACAAAAATCCGGTAGGGTGAGCATAAAGCCCAGTAGGAAATCCTCAACAAAGTATATACATTTTATACAAGTCTTAAGAGATGAATGCACATGCCATGCCATGCTTTTTTGAAAATAAAACACATCTTCATCTTTTGAAAACCATCATGCTCAATGATGTTATGCAACTTCAACTGTTCAAAATTTATCAATTTAATTAAAGGGGGCGGTAAATACAACTCTGGTAATCCTGACACTTAGGCCAACTTAAACAATTTCATCTACACCACCTATCAAGACTTACCACCGTATTTACCCCAAAACCATTTCATGAAAACCCATTTCCCAACATTCTTTTCTCAATGCAAATTTTCAAAGCTTTACATAGTCCAATGAATTGAAATGCCAATGTATGCTTAATAATGCAATGCAACATTACTTCGATATTCAATTGTTCCACACAATATACCATTGTGATCAAAATTCCCAATCCTCTTTTCAACACAATTCCACAAGATGAATATATATATATATATATACTTTTATATCCAATTCATTCAAGAGAATAACGTAATTTCCACATTTCGAGCAATCTCAACAATTTAGTCAATTCAAGACTAAATCAACATTTTGACAACAATTTCCAAAATAAACAACATTTCTCATTTTTTTCACAAAATTCGTCATTTATATATAAATAAAAAATTTTCAAAACATCCATTTATTTTAGTACACAAAATAAATATGACAACATCTTCCAAGGATTTTCAACATCTTTCAAAGAAAAGACACAATTTCTAGGTTTTCTCACCAAAACCATTCATCTCCAAGATATTTAGAAGAATCTTCCCAAAATCATCTTTCTTAAATCAATATGGTTCAAAACCTTCAATTTCTATTTTAAAAGGAAAAGAAATTAAACCATCTTTCAAAATCACCCATCTTCTTGAAATCAACAATCAGTTTCTCAAAGCTAATCAAAGGATGATTTCGAAAATCATCTAGATCTTGAAAAAACATATATATAACTCTAAGAAAAATCCTTACCTCAAGTTTTGAAGAAGAAATGAGATGAAACCCCCAAAATCAACAGTGTCAAAACTCGATCTTCACCGCACACAACGAAGCCTTCGAGATGATAACTGTGTGGGTAATTTTCTTACCACACTACCTGTCTAGTAATCAGCTGGAGAGCACCGGCAGAATAGATGGCTTTAGTAAACCTGTAACAGAAAGAAAGGGGCTCCGGCGGTGGCTCTTCCACCCGGGGGCACTCCGACGATCAAGTCAGTATATCTCTCAAAGATAATCAAGTGCTAAACTCACAAGCTTGGGTATAAAACTGCGTACCTTAGACCCACGGGGGTGCCTCTCTTTTATAGTTTACTTAATCCTAGTCCCACTAGAAGCCTGACTTCTATGGACTCCAATTCAATACTAACTTGGACTCTTCAAGAGATAAAGATAGAACTCCCTAAGAGTTTTATCCTTATCTTGGCTAAGTCTTCTTTTTTCTCTAGGACTCTTGCCCCTTATCCATTTCTCCGCTTATCTCGGATTCTGATATCCTCGGAGATAACCTCGGCCTTGCCAAAGGTAACCTCGACATAACTACCACGACTCGTGGCACCTCGACTGACACGTTGGCGTCGTCATGCCACGTGTTAGTAATCAGAAAATACATCCCCACAACTACCCCCTAGGTTCTATTACCTCAGCATTCTGAGGTGATGGAACCTATGTCTGTATTTTCTTCCAGTACCTCGGCGTAAGAACTTTTTGGCCGAGATCATTCATTTTAGGCTGACATGCCTTCATCAAAGAACATGAACTCAAACGAACTCCTTCACGCGCATGAGCTGTCATGCACCTTTTCTCAACAGTTCCCCCCACGTGCTTTATCTTTATTGGCCCGTGTCTGTGACACGCCTGAACGTTGTACTTCACCCATCTGCGCCGTCTGACGTGTGCGTTGCTCCAGGCGTAATAAATGCCCTGCTTTTGCCGCCGTTTCAAGTTTTTTTACAAAACTTTTCCCCCTTTCTTTTCGTTTCTTTACTTTTGTTTTCGATTTTTCTGGCTTTCTCTCTCTCTTAAACCTTCTCAAATCCGCCATTGCTCTAGCTCCAAGCTCTGCAATCATCTTCATTCTTTCTTTGAAGCTTTCACCGTTCCGCTGTGTCTGCAACCGTTGCCTTACCTCGGCGACCTTTTATTCCGGCTTTATTTGTTCTGGTAAGCCTCTGTTCCTCTTATTCCAAATTTCTTCTATGTGCTTTTGTTTACCTGCTGCCATTATTTCTTTGTTTCAAACCTTTGATTTTGCTGAACTATTTGTCTGGACGCACTTATTCCATGATTTCACTCATGTCTTGAACACTTGTACTGTTTCAATACTTTTTTTGCCTTTGTTCTTGAGCCTGTATTTCTTTCGCTTTTGAGAACCATACCTCTGTTCTTGATTCTGAAACGTCATTCTTTGTTTCTTGTTTCCTGTGTTGTTTTCCAGATCTCTGCCTTCAATTCTTGCTTTCAATCTTTGCCTTCATAGATTTAGGTTTGGGTTTTGTCTGTAGAACCTTCAATTTTTAAGGAAAACGGAAACAAGCCTTATCAGTCCTTACCTAGGGTTTTGCCGAGGTCCCAATAACCCCTTAAGAGCACCTTCTTCCTGAAATCTAGCCATCTGACTTTAGGCCGACGTTATGGGCATGTGGAGACATAGGGTTGATACCCCGACCAAACTTGAGTACTTTAGGCAGGAGTTCTCCATCCCTGCCGATGTTCATCTGAAACTGGCTGGGGATGGTGACTCCATCATGCCTACCAAAAACACCATGCCTCTCCCTATTGTAGCCTTTACTGAGTGTGGACTTCGGCTTCAACTTAACATTCTTTTTCGCGAGATTTTGCATTATTATAAGCTGAACCCTATGCAACTTGCCATAAACTCTTATCGAGTGATTTTTGGTATCATAGCCCTAGCTAGGCAGGAGAATGTTAGGATCACCCTTGCCGATGTACAATATTGTTATACCATGTGCCCCCTTAACCTGAAGGAAAAAGGTTACGTCTACTACCTCAAGCCGAGGTCTACTGAATTCAAAATTGTAGCCGACCTCCCGGACTCCAACAAGGGAGCCGGGGATGACTTTGTCATTGCTTCGGGAAATTGGGAATTTGGTCCAGACGAAGATGTTCACCTCTACCCTCTTCCTCGAACAGTTAAAGAGGGCAAGGGTAAGAGCCCAGCATCAATACTTAGTTATTTCTAAGTCTTTAAAACTTTGTCTATTTCTAATGTTTGTTTGTTCTGCAGATCTTCATCAGCCACCAAAAAACTTTCGCCAATCGTACTTCCCAGGAAAAGATTTAAAGAAGCTCCTTGATCTTCCAATCCACAAGCGCAAGGCTCCCCTGTTACTGAATTTTATTCCGACATACAAATCCACACTGCCCGACGTCCCAAAAAGAAAGAAGAAGAGCCTATCTCCTCCCTCTGCTACCACTCTACAAACAACATCAACATCTCGGGCTGACCAAGGGTCAACCTCTGATCCAGCCGACCAACCATCAACTTCTGGCCCATACCTAATCCCCATACCAGAATGAAAACGTCGGCAAAGACTCGTAAAAATTGCTGAGATGGGTCGCCCAAAGCTTGTTGCCCAAGATCTTCTAGCCGACCTTCCAACCGACATCGATGCTGTTCCGACCCAACCTTTGCCCCCACCGAAGCCAAAAAGAACTAAGAAGGCCCAGCCTAAGGCCAAGGCTACTGAGGTTGAGGCTGAGGATGCTCTACCCATCTCTAAGCTGGCTGAAAGCAGCAAATCTCAACCTTCCACTGGGAAGAGGCGTGCAGAATCCCAGCCATCACAATCTACTCAACCCAAGAAGCTGAGGTCATCGTCTGCGACGACCTCGGGGTCCAAAAAATCTGATGTTCCTTGGGCTCCCCAGATTACTCTGGAAGATAGGCCCATAATGACCAATGAAAGCGCCGATGACATAAATGTCGACGTTGCCCTTACTACGGCGCTGCTCCTTCTTGGTGATTTGGAGCGGAATGCCGGGTATAGTGAATATGAGAACTATGCCCTAATGCTCTAGCACTCTGTTCAAGTAAGTGTTCCTGCTTGGTACTTTTTCTTCCATTCTGCTTTGTACTTAAAAAATATTTCTAACACTTCTGTTTTCTTTCAGGCCATCCAGCATGCCCACTCATTTTCAATACAGTCTTTCTAGAATCGAGAGAAGCTGGTCGCCCTGAGGAGGGAGGTTTCTGCCCTCAAAAAGGAGAACAAAAATCTCCTTTCAAAAATGAAAAAGCTGGAAGACCAGGCTGAGGCTGCCACCAAAGCCTAAACCTTAGCCGAGGAAAAGGCCGAATCTGCTGAGGCCATCAAGACAGTTACTGAATCCCAAAAGAAAGAGGCTGAGGGGAGAGCGGCCCAGGCCGAGAAGGAACTTCACGAAGCCTTGGCCACAAAGGAAGCCGAAATCAAAGAGGCTGATGAGAAGGCATATGCTCAGGGCATGGCCGACGTCACTGAGGATTACAAGCTTCAAGTCAGGCAGGCATGCAACAGGGGATTTTCCCTTGGTTGGATGTCCCTGATAAAAAAAACTTGATGTCCCTGTTGACTCGCCTTTCCGTAATGCCGATGCTATTCCTCTCCCATTTCCTCCTCTTCCACCTCCAAGTCAGGCCGAAGAAGAATCTGAGTCTGAGTCTGAAGTCGAGGATGAGGATAACAATGATGATGAGGCCTTGGTGAGGAAATCCAAGGATGCTACTGAGGCCAAGTCCCCTCGTCCAACTGAGCAAGTTATGGACTTAACCTTGAATGAAGAGGGTGATGAGGTTGGGGAGGTGCCAAGGGAAGATGTTACAGGGCAATTATCATCCGACCTTCTCTTAGCTGAAAGAAGTCTTAACAAAACGCTTGCAGAGATTGATGCCGAGCTGGCTGCAGAGAAGGCTGCCGAAGTAGTTCCCCAAGAATCGGCCGAGGTCCAGACCCAAATCGCTCTTGAAACTGAGGAATCATAACTTTGGATGTCTTCCGTGCTCTTTTTGTTTTTTGGATAATATAAGCTTTTCTGTACTTCTGGTTTTGAAACAATGTAAGCTCTTCTATTTAAAAGAGAGAGATGCCAAATCGAGATGTGGACGTCAAGAACTTTATATGGAGAAACATCATCACCAGATTTGGCATTCCAAGAGCAATAGTTGCCGACAACGAAACACAGTTTGACACAAACTCATCAAGAACTTTTGTGCCAAATTCAAGATCAAGAACTACTTTTCAACACCAAGTTTTCCCCAAAGTAATGGTCAAGCAGAAGCATCCAACAAAGTAATTTTGATGGAATAAAGAAAAGGCTGCAGGCAGCAAAAGGAAAGTGGGTAGACGAATTGCCCAACGTGCTTTGGGCATATCGGACTACGCCGAGAAGATCAACAGGGAATCCCCCTTTGCCATGGCTTATGGCACAGAAGCAGTCATCCCATTAGAGATCGGCATCCCAGGGATCAGGCCCAGGAGTAGAGAATGGCACCAATGACATACTCTTAGCCCGAGATCTGGATCTTCTGGAAGAACGAAGAGAAAAAGCTGCAATTCAGCTAGCAGTATACCAGCAACAGCTTGCTAGAGCTTACAACAAAAAGGTTAATCCAAGAGATTTCAAGTCGGCGACCTAGTCCTGAGAAAAGTCATCGGCAACAAGAAGGATCCCAGAGAGGGCAAGCTTGGCCCAAACTGGGAAGGACCCTACAGAATTACTCTCAGTATTAGGCAATGGAGCTTATCGCTTAAAGATAACGAGGGCAAAGCACTGCCAAGACCTTGGAACACTTGTAATTTGGAATTCTTCTATCATTAGATGTGCAGTATTTTTGGCCGATGTCATCAATAAAATCTTTCCCCTTTTCTTAAAACACATATATTTTATAAGTTACATATTGGTGTTTTTTAGACATGAATAATGAGAACCCAAGTAGAACTCAGGTTCACATTGGGGGTAGAGAGAAGACAGAGACACTTAATTCACTTGTTGAAATTTGTAGCAATTTACAAGTCGAAGTTAAGCCGAGATATTCCTTAATTCACTTGTTGAAATTTGTAGCAATTTACAGTTGAATTAGCTGATTCCTTAATTCACTTGTTGAAATTTGTAGCAATTTCAAGTTGGAATTAAGCTAATTCCTTAGTTACTTGTTAATTGTAGCAATTACAATTGGAATTAGCTGATTCCTTAATCACTTTTTTGAAATTTGTAGCAATTTACAAGTTGGAATTAAGCTGATTCCTTAATCTCACTTGTTGAAATTTGTAGCAATTTACAAGTGGAAGTTAAGCGAGATTATTCCTTAATTCACTTGTTGAAATTTGTAGCAATTTACAAGTTGGAATTAAGCTGATTCCTTAATCCACTTGTTGAAATTGTAGCAATTTACAAGTTGGAGTTAAGCTGATTCCTTATCTTCACTTGTTGAAATTTGTAGCAATTTACAAGTTGAAGTTAAGCCGAGATTATTGTTTCTCTTCACTTGTTGAATTTGTAACATTTAAGTCGAAGTGAAGCCGAAGTTATAGTTTGCACACTTATAGCAATCAGGTTGATCCAACCAAGAAGATGCTTAACACTTGTTGAAATTTGTAGCAATTTACAAGATAATGTTAAGCCGACATGTGATCATTTGTTGAAATTTACAGCAATTTACAGGTTGAGGTAAAAGCTAAGTGTATTGTTTAAACACTTGTCGAAATTTATAGCAATTTACAAGTTGATCATTGTTATTACTTGAGAAAATTTTTTACAGTATATGGTAACACTTGTTGAAATTTGTAGCAATTTACAAGTAGGTTAGACCGAGATCACCGTTTAAATACTTGTTGAAACTTGAGAAGAAGCTTGCAAAGTTAACATTGAATAGTATATGATAAACACACTTGTTGGAATTTATGAAGAGTTTGCAGGTCTGTATCTTGCCGAAGTAAATGTTATTGCACAAAGGAGGCAAAATGGAAAGGCATGCAAAATATCCAGTATAGAGTCATACAGACGCAATTGAGAGAAATTAAAGATTAAAGCGTTCAGACGAAAAAGTTGCAATTGTATACAAAGAAGGCACTAGGCCAACCAGAAATAAAGTTGTATTCAACAGAAGCAGAAGATACATCAGCTAAC